TGTTTTCCATAGTGGCTTCAACAATTTACATTTTCAACAACAGTGCACAAGAGTTCCTTATTTTTCACATCTTCCCCAACACTTGTTATTTCTTGTTATTTTGTTTGATGATAGTCATCCAAACGTGTTAGCTGATATCTCATTGTTTGTGATTTATATTTCTCTGATGATTAGTGTTGTTGCATACCTGTTGGCTATTTGTGTTTCTTCTTTGGGAAAATTTCTATTCAGTTCCCGTGTTTATTTTTTATGTTTGTTTGTTTTTTTTCTTTTGCTATAAAGATGTGTTCTTTATATATTTTAGATACTTAACCCTTATCAGATCTATGATTTGCATTCCATTCTGTAGTTTGTCTTTTGATTTTGTATGGTATCCTATGCTGTGCAGAAGCTTTTTAGCTTGATGTAGTCCCACATGTGGTTTGGACCCCACACCTTGCAGCAGAAGGCAATGGTTAACCACTGCTACATATTCTTTTCTTATTTATTTATTTTGTTTTGTTTTGTTTTACCTTAAAAACCCTATGAGGAGACAGGAAACCCAAAATGAAATATGAGGTAGTACTGAAAGATGAAAATCCCAGAGTGGGAAGCACTCTAACAGTTAACGAGGAAGAGCAGAGAACAAGTACTAATAGCATCATTGCTAATGATGTAAATAAATCAGAGCCAGAAGGATGTCTAGCAGCTGATGTGCACAAAGGTAAAATGTGATGCTGCACAACACATTCAATTGGAACATGGAATGTAGAAAGCATAAACCAAGGTAAACTGGAAGTTGAAAAGCAAGAAATGGAACATCTAAACATTGCAGGGCTGGATGTCAGTGAACTGAAGTGGACTGGAATGGGACATTGTCAGTCAGGCATCTACAAAGTGTTCTACTCTGGACATTACAAACTCAGGAGAAATGGAGTGTCTTTAATACATGCTTCAGACCACCGGAAAGATGACTATATTCATGGACATCACCAGATGGCCAATATAGAAATCAAACAGACTCTGTCATTGGAAGCAGGATATGGAGAAGCTGTATTCTCTCTGCCAAAACAAAACCAGGAGCAAATTGTGGTAATGACCACAAGATGACTATCAAACATTAAAGCTGAAGAAGAGCACTAAAAGAATGGTAGTGTCAGAATATAATACAAATAACATTCCTGATTGATTTAATGTACTCATAAAAAAAGATACTTGCACTGTTAAAATCAATTGACTGAGAACCAGAAGAAATGTGGACTGAAGCTAGAAATATTGTTAGGGAAGAATGTGAAAAGGCAATGTCTGAGGTATAAGGAAAAGACAAACCAAGATAGATGACAAAAGAAACACTAAAAATTGTTAAAAACAGGCAAGAGGTAAAAGTAAAAGCTAGCAAAAGCAGGTTTGGAATCCTGAATGCAGTTTTTTAATGAGTATCATGTAGAGATAAAGGGAACTATTACAGTAGTGAATGTAAGGAGGTAGACGAGAACAAGAAAAAAGGAAAAACGAGATCTCTGCCAGAAGATTTGGGAAATTCCAACCTAGACTAGGAATGCTGAATGACCAACAAGGAAGAATCTTACTTCACCAAGAGAAAATAAAGAGGGAAACAGTCCACTGAAAATCTATACCAAAGAAACAAAAGGATGACAGACACCTTTGAAGAAGATTTTATATGGAAGAACCTGTAATTCTAGAAATGGAAGGGAAAGCTGCCCTGGAAGAACATATTGGGAACAAGAAAATCACTAGGAGTTGATAGAATTATTTCAAGTCAAAGAGACTGAATCTGTCAATATTCTAACAAGAATATGTCAACAAATATGGAAATCAAAACAGTGGTCTATAGATTGGAAATATTCAATATGCATCCTAATTTTCAATAAACGAGATTCCAAGGAGTGCAGTAACTAAGGACCATTACTCTAATTTCCCATGCAAGTCAAGTGATGCTTAAGGTAATGCAATAAAGGCTTCTACCTTATCTGGAGCAAGAAATGCTGGATGTTTAAGCTGCATTTTTAAAAAAAGTAAGAGGCATTCAAGACCTAATTGCAAACATTTGTGGGATATTGGAATGCTCCGAAAAACTTCAGAAGAAAGTTAATCTATGTTTTATAGGCTACAGTAAAGCCTTTGACTGCATGAATCGTGAAAGCTAGGGGTTGCTCTGAAAGAAATGAATGTGCCTCTGCACTTGGTCATCCTGATACATAACAGTGTTGTGGACAGGAAGCCACTGTTGGAACAAAATATGGAGAGAAAGAATGGCTTCCTCTAGGCAAAGGTGGCAGACAAAAGTGCATTTTATCTCCCTATTTGTTTAATTTGTACACAGAACATAGCATATAACAAACTGGGCTAAACTCAGAGGAAGAAGGAGTGAAAATAGGTGGAAGAAATATCAATAACTTAAGATATGCAGATGACCATTTTATTGGCAGAAAGTAGCAATGGTTTAAAACACCGTCTGGTGAAAATGAAAGAAGAAAGTGCCAAAGCAGCACTGCATTTGAACACCAAGAAAACACACCTCATGACTATAAAAGAAATACATGACTTTAACATAGACAGTGAAGATATTGAAATTGGTAAAGATTTTGCTTATCTTGGTTCAGTCATCAATTTAAATGAAGACTGCAGCCACGAAATGAAAGGAGGCTGAAACTTGGAAGTGCAGCAATGGAAGAATTAGGAAAGATCATCAAGAGAAAGATGTGTCATTGGAGAAAAAACTAAGATCATTGACGCCCTTGTATCCCCAGTTCCTATGTCAGACAGTTGAACAGTGAAGAAGGGGGATAGGAAAACAATTGATTCATTTGAAATGGTGCTGGAGGAGAGCTCTGCCCTGGACCTCCAGGTAGACAAACAGGTGTGCTCTAGAGCAAATTAAACCTGAGACATTGCTGGAGGCAAAAATGACAAAAAACAAAAGCTGTCCTACTTTGGGCACATAACGAAAAGGCAACATTCTCTGGGAAAAAACAATAATGCTTGGAAAAATAGAGGCAGCAGGAAAAGAGGAACATGAAATACGGGATGGATTCACTCCATAAAAGAAGCAGTGGGCAGGAGTCTACAGGAGCTGAGCAGGGCTATTGAGGACAAGACATCATGGAAATCACTCATTCATAGGGTTACCAGGAATTGACTCAATGGCATGTAACACAAATAGTCACACTTATTTATTTTTGTTTTTGTTACCTTGCTTTTGGTGTTAAATCCAAAAAAATAATTGCCAGGATTGGTATCATGGAGCTTGCTGCCTACGTTTTCTTCTAGGAGTCTGATGGTTTTAAATCTTACATTCAACTCTAATTCATTTTGAGATAATTTTTGTGTATGGTGTAAGACAGGGGTCCAGTTTTACTCTTTTGCATGTGGCTGTCTAGTTTTCCCAACACCATTTATTTAAGAGACTGTCCTTTCTCCGTTGTGTATTCTTGACTCCTTAGTCAAAACTTAATTGTATGTACAAGGGTTTTTTTGGAGAGTTCTCTATTCTGTTCCATTGATCTATATGTTTATGCCAATACCATACTGTTTTAATTACTATAGGCTAGTAATAGTTTGAAACCAGAAAATGTGACCCTTCTACATTTTTTCTTTTTCAAAATTGCTTAGCTATTCAGGGTCTTTTGTGGTCCCATGCAAATTTTAGGATTGTTGTTTTGTTTCTTTGAAAAATGTCATTGGAATTTTGGGATTGCATTGAATCTGTAGATTTATTTGGGTAGTATGAGCATTTTAATAATATTAATTTTTTCAATCCATGAGCATGAAATATCTTTTGATTTATGTGTCCTATTTAATTTTTTTATCAAGGTATTACAGTTTTCAGTGTACATATGTTTCACCTCTTTGGTTAGATTTTTTCCCTAAATATTTTATTATTTTCAATTCCATTGTAAATGGTATTGTTTTCTATATTTCTTTTTTGATAGTTTGCTGTTATTGTATAGAAATGTAATTAATGTTTGTATATTTATTTTGTATTCTGCAACTTTACTGAAGTTATTTATTAGTACGAACAATTTTTCAGATAAAGTTTTTAGGGCTTTTTATATGTACTATACCATCTGCAAATAGTGAGAGTTTTACTTTTTCCTTTCTGATTTGAATGTCTTTTATTTATTTTTCTGGCTTAATTGCTCTGGCTAGGACATCAAGTACAATGTTGAATAAATATGGGCCAGAGGTGGGGGTGGGGGTAGGGGGAATGTGTGAATGTGGCCAAAAGGTACTAACTTCTAGTTATAACATAAATAAGTCCTGGGGATGTAATGTACAACATGATTACTATAGTTAACAATACTGTATTGTATATTTGAAAGTTGCTAATAGAGTAATGTTAAAAGTCCTCCTCACATAAAAAATATATAACTGTGTGAGGTTATGTTTGTTAACTAAACTTATTGTGGTGATCATTTTGCAATATATACATATATCAAGTCATTATGTTGTGTACCTTAAGCTAATATAGCATTATATGTTAATTATATCTTAATAAAACTAGGGGCAAAAATAAGAGAACTCTCAATAAAAACCTGCAAGGGAATGAGAAAAGCAGGAGCGGGAAGAGGGAGAAGCTTTAAGGGGCCTCAGGCAATACTGTGTCACAGTGATGGCCTTCATGTAAAGATATAATTCCAGGTACCTCTGGGGAAAGCTGCTCCAATAACCCAAGGATGGTTCCCCAAAGCCCAGCTAGTATGAATCCTTAGCAACAGGATTAGGGCCATAGAACCGGCTTTATATCAGGGACTCCTATAATAACTCAATATTAGTTTCTTAGTACTTGTCTGCGCAAGCAGAATAGAATTAAAATTTATTCACCATACCTTCAAATCTTCTGAGTGAGTGCATGATAGCTCTTTTGGTACCTTATAGATGTTAGGACATGCTTATGCACAAAATGGGTGTTAAAAATTTACAAATTGCTTGATTTATTTAATTCACGAAATATGTACCATTTCTTATTTTTTCTATCTGTGTGTGTTAAAATCCAATAGGCCAGAACCTGTTTTGTGGACAAAGGATGGTGGAGAATTACCAGATCCTGACCGAATGGTTGTGAGTGGTAGGGAGCTAAACATTCTTTTCCTGAACAAAACGGATAATGGTACATATCGATGCGAAGCCACAAACACCATCGGCCAAAGCAGTGCGGAGTATGTCCTCATCGTACACGGTGAGTACCTTTTTGACATTATTATATGTGAAAGAGTGTATCTCCTGAAAAACTTTATCAAAATCTTTAGAATAATAAAATTAAACAGGTTTTCTTTTTCTTTCAGAAGATCTCATAAATGTAAATATCTCCAAGATTCACTTTTAATTGTTTCAAGTCAAACAAATAAAATAAAATTTAAAGATACATTAAAAATAAAATTATTTTTGTAACAAGCTTTCTTTATTACAAATATATTGTGTAATTTGGGGTGGTGACTATTAAATTATATTAATGGTTTTCTTTCAATTATACAAATGAATGCTTTTAGTTATAAATCAGAATCATAAAAATTATACTTCCCTTAAGCTAATTTTGGTTGTATTATCATAAAAATATACTTATAATTGCTGTAACTGGTTTCACAAGGAATGATAGCGTGCCACTGAGATGCAGCAAAGGCAGAGGTCTACAGCATTAATGATAACTGTATTAGTTTCTCATGAACAATATCTGAAACACCCACAGACATTTTTTCCCCCTCTCCACTAATTTCACAATTTGAGTATATATAACAAAATTCAGTAAAAAATACCAATACACAAGATTGAAAAGTATCTGTTTTTTCCAACCTCTAAAAGCTGCAATGTATTGTTTATAAGGTAACACTAACATATTGTTAGATGGAGATAACTTTTATGAGATTTAAAAATACTGCAATAAACAAAGTCAAGTTTCTTTATTGAAGGATTTCCCAGAGCTTATTTTATATGCAGGGTACATTGTGAATCTCCAAGAGAGAGAAGCATAGAGAATGGAACATTTTTCTCATATATTTCACCAAGAAAAACTTTTGTAAGACTAGTATTGTGTTCTACACAATATTACAGTATTCCAAATGAGTATTGTGTACGTCATAATGCTGTCATAAATCCAGTGGATCTTAGAAATCACGAAGAGGGTAGGTTTATTTGATATTTTCCCATGAATATAATTGTAGAATGCTGTAAGAAACATGGGTTAGTTCCAAGAAAGAATTTGAGGGTAGGGGAGGTAAAAATCTAATTCTTTGGAAAGAGATCTAAATTTAGGGAAAACATAATCCAGTGGTGTTTTTACCCAGGTATTTATTTTGCTTTAATACAGGTGAAAATCGGATGAAAAATAATATATGAAGTCAATAGTCTGCTTTCAAATTGCTTTATTGTATGCAATCTCTCAATTCTTAATACCACTTTGTTATCAAAGGCAAGTAAAGGCTCTCAGCGAATAGACTATCCACATATAAACATCTTGAAGATCATAGAGCTGAGAGATTAATTTCTAGCATATTAAGAATTATACAAATTTCAAGAAAGATCAGCCTAATTTGATTAGACTGATAAAATGGAATTAAATGTGGTAAACCCTTGTAGTCACACCCTGCCACCTTGCTGCCAGAGAGAATGTAACCATTACTGGGTAAATCAAGAAGGTACGTTAGAGCCTTAGAGCAGAGTCCGGGAGCAGCTGTCCATTCATGCTGACCTGCATGTGTGGATCATGCAGTCGTGTAAATGAGGTGTAGTCTGATTCACCCTTAGCTTTCTAAGTGCTTCTCTCACCTGACAGTTTCTGGGAACCTGGGGGAATGTTGCATAGCATGTCACGTTGTGTCAAAAGCAATATGACACTAAAAATATAGAGAATTAAAAGGGAGTGACAGAAAATCATATACTTAAATGAAAAGAATGTCATTCGTTTTTTTAAAAGTAATTCAAGTGGGGAAAATTCATATGTTTTTCCAGTGTTTGCAAGCCAGCCAACAGCATGCTTTCCTAAGTAGCCAAGCTGCCTTTAGGTAGTTGGCAGTTGACACATTTCTAATAAATACTTTTCTAAGCACTTTGTAAGAAGTCATTTTTGGCTTTGCTTTTTGAACTACAATTTATCAAAAGCACCCCATAGATTAATGCTTTTCATGCTACTATATAAATGCTGTGAAGTTCAACAGTAGTTTACCCAGGATTATTGACACAAGTAATGAGAGGCTCTATGAAACAGTGAAACCATATTACACTGTGTTTAAAAGAACTCCAATTGGGTTCATTACAAAATAAAGGTTTTTTTCACCCTTTTTGCACATAGAGTATAATGTTTCATTAGTCACTGGTTGTATAAATATAAAAAGCTACTCTCTTCTGTTAATGGTTTGGCTGTTTCAAAACCTTACTAAATGATGAAATTTGAGTGGCATTTCGATCTATAATGAATGCTGTATGCATTTCGGAATGGAGTGATAAGTGATCATTTGTGAGAACTTCACCCTTTTATCTTTTACACCAAGGTTGATTTTACATCAGCTGTGATAATTTAATATAGCTCTAGCACAGAAGGGCCTTTCATGAGCTGAGACCGAGTCTTTGTACCTTGGTTACCTAGGTCCTATTGATTCTTAACTTGATGGAGGTTTGAGCGCTTTCCCGTGAAATCACCTGCTATGTAGATGCCATGCTAATGGTTAGATTTTATTCTTTAGGTGTCAATGGAAGTTCATTATTTAAATGTTACCACATTTAATTGTTAACAGCACTGACACTTTGTATTATGGACACCGGAGGTTTTCTGTCTCCCCCTCCCAATTACATCTTTGCAAATTTCAGCATTAGAACTACAGATGGTGATTTGAAACTGCCAGTATGAAATTCTGGGCCTAACAAATTTGAGCATACAAATCCTTGTAGGATAAAACATTGTACTTATGAAACATTTGCATTATGGAGATTCCTTTAGGAAAGAAAGTAGCATTTTTTTAATTAACAAGCTTAATAGTAGCATTTTTTAATTAAAAAATTAATCTGTTCAATTGGTAGTCATAGTTATACTATTAATTTCTGTGAGCACAGTAGTTTTTTGGTTTGTTTTTGCTATGTATAAAAATATTGAAGCAATTTTCTTGTTATTATTAGGATCCTGATTTTTATTTAGAATGACTGATTGCTTTCATATTAATGGTCTCGAAATGTGCCGCTGAACTGCTGTTTGTAGAACTCAGATCAAGAGAAAAATTCATTCCTTCACTAAGTAGATATTTAGCATTTATCCACCGAGTGTAAAGGCAGTGTAAGAGTAATAGCACTCAAGAAGTTTAGAGTTTAACATGAAAGATAAGCTAAGCATTCAAGTAATTATGATATAGAAGTGGAAGAGCTATAGGAGAATGGACATACAATGCTGTAGATTTCCAGAGTCTGTAAGAATGTGGTTCCAGTGTCTGGAATTTTTATAAAAATAGTAACACAGCCCTTCTGGGTTATTCATTAGCTAATGGTATATATCATAAATCGAAGCGCCCAACACAGCGTCAGGTACAGAGATATGCAACAAATTAGACCACTATTATCATTACGTTCAAATATTCCCGGCATTCTTTGTTCACCCAGGTCTCCATGGATCTCTGTCCACACCTTGGCCCTTTCACACTAGCTTCACCTCTACCACAAGCGGTGCACACGCACATACTGTACAAACACACGCACAGTACCGAAACATCGAAGGTTCCAGGCATCTTATTCTTTCTTTCTTTTTTAATCCTCCCTGGAGGATATTTTTTTCATTGCTTTTCAGAGAGGGCGGAAAGGAGGGAGAGAGAGAGAGAGGGAGAGAAGCATCGAGGTGAGAGACACATTGATTGGCTGCCTCCCACACTCACCCCGACCTGGGCTGGGATGGAGCCTGCAACCAAGGTACGTGCCCTTGGCCGGAATCGAACCTGAAACCCTTCAGTCCGCGGGCCAACGCTCCAGCCACTGAGCGAAACCCGCAGGGGCTGGACAGCAGATTCTTAAAGCTTCACAAACACCTCATTCAGTAAAGAAAAGAGGCTTATTTACACAGTCATTCCCTTGAGAGCTGCGGCCCTTACTATAGGCAATTCCTGTGTTCCCTGGTTTGTTGGAACCTTGTCAATAAGCCCTCAACTGGTCAGAACTTGAAATGTGATTGTTAGCATGGTACTAGCCCATGAGTAGCGTGTCATAATCAATGTTATTAATGTGAATTTTTTTCTTTTTTTCAAATCTTATCATTTTAAGATTAGTTATCCAGTTTTGTTTCCATAGCTCTTTGTAGAAACCATTGAACATTTTGACTGAGTTTAAACAATAAGTTCAATAACCCATAGAATCAAAGTTAAAATCAGTTGCAAAATTTTTTGGATTAAAGATATTTAAAGGACTGACACATTTGGTCTTCTTTTCTGTTTTTTATTGAAGTGTAATTGACAGAATGCTGTATTAGTTTCAGGTGTACAACAAAATGATTTAATATTTGTATATATTTTGAAAAATTATCACTAAAAAAATATTACTAGTAGCCTTATCATATCAAGGGCAATATAATTTCAGTGCTCTGATATGAAACTTACTCAGGAGTTGCATATAATTTATTGTCAATACTCTTCCCTGAATGGTACCCAAAGCAGGAATTAGGCTATCCCCAGTGAAAAACAAGATAGTTCTAAATCCTTGCTAACTAAGCAATAACAAGCTTAAACATATAACAATAGAGTAAGTTAGTAATATAGTTTATTGAGCAGGATAAAAGTTATAATCACCCTTGTTTCTCTGATGCAACATCAAATCAGAGGATTTAGATAAAGTATTTTCTGCCCAAGCTAAGACTATCCAGATCTGTATCTTCCAGTGCAGAGAACATAGCAGATGCCTGTTTATCACACAAGGGATGACTGCAGAGAACTACAGATGACCTGAGGCTGATCTTATTTTCCATTTGGAAGCAATTCAAGCGCTCATATTTATTTATCAGCAACCGATTAAAACAATATTATTTTGAAAGTGTCAGAAACATATAGCACCTGGGAACTTTTGAAAAGCTGTCTAATGAGAGTGTGAAACACAAATTACCATATTCCCTCTACATCCTAAACCTCTTTCTTCTCAACTTTCCCAGTGCTTGTTACCTCCCTTCACACTCACACTAGAGCAGTTTGTAAGCACTCTTCAAAACACAAATGGAAGATG